GGTTTAGGGCTTAGGGTTAGGGCGTATAGTAAGTTAGGGTTAGGGCATATAGTTATCTAGGGTGTAGGGTATATTGTAAGGCTCGTACGATTGGGTGCCCACATGTGTGCACCCTAAGCTATGGCTGCAACAGTTCGAACCCCAAGCAAGGTACCTGATGTAATACGCCCTGAATCCCACCCTTAGCCCCAAACCCGTGTGTGCCTTGAAGACCGATGCAGGGTTCTCCGGCGGCTCTCCCTCCTGAGCGTCGATTTTCAACGGGCTGTAAACTCCCAAAGGGTCCTAGAGTTTAGGGCTTAGGGCTTAGGTATTCTTATAGGGGATACCTTCCCATATCATAACAACAACTCCTCATATAGAAACCCTACATTCTACCCTTTAGGTACTTTGGACCCTCTGGGACTTGCAAATGAAATATTATCTTGGGTTGAAGCTTCAGGAGGCTATGAATCACTATAAGGGTTTAGGGCTTAGGGCTTAAACCCTAAACCCTCAACCGAATTTCTTGAGTTGAGGGTTCAGGGTTCTGGCTTATGGGATAGGGTCTTTGGGCAACTTTGCCACTGCATGCGGTACATGTGCAAAAACGAAACTACGAGGTGTTCCATGAAAAGCACGCGCCGAAAGGTCTTTACTGCATAGCACCGCCCAATTCAGGAACCTACAGGAAAAGCACTTAAAGCTCCTGTTGAACCCCTGTAACCACCCATACACCGCCATATAAAGCCCAATTAAACTATAAAGCCTAAAGCCTCAAGCCTAAACCCCAAACCCCTCAACCCCCAAAGCCTGAACCATGAACCATGACCTCTCGTTATGAAACCCAGGGCGTTTAGGGCTTGTGCGCCTTTGAGATCTCGGAGTATTCCTTCGGCAACCCAGACCATGAATTCCTACGTAGGTCGTTCTCTCAATCAGGATCCCTCTTAGGGTTTAGGGTTTAAAACTATGTTTGGGGCTTAGGATTTTTCGGGCTCATAAGGAAGTGAAGCGGTTTAGGGTTTAGGGATGGGTAGATCAGCAGCGAGGCATCTTGGCATCTAGCCTTTGGCCGTAGACACGAGCCTCTACCCGCCAAACCAAAAGCTCAGCGCCAAACGTGGCAGCAAAGTTCGATCTCATCCTGGCTGCATGCGGTCTAGGGGGTCAGGGATCAAGGTTTAGACAGGTTTTAGAGTTAGGTTCTGGCTCAAAGTGCACAGATTTGTGGGTTTAGCCTCGCGTTACTATCTTCCGATTTTGCTCGCAGGATACTCCAGGAACCACAGGCGCTCAAAGCCAGTTTCTTCTGCCACTCCGGATATCTGAAAACCCGAACAGACAGATTGATTCCTGTCGTGTCATGACGGGCTCGTTGATGCTTTTGGATTGGAGGCAGAACTGCAAATGAGCGCCTGAGCAAGCTTGCCGCATCATCAGTACATTCGTCCGTATGTGCATTCTGCATGTGCAGGTTTGACTGGCCAGCCGTGCTGGCACGTGAATGTAGGTGCACATACATCGAAACTTGCAGGTACCCGTATATGGGCTGATGTGTAATTACATGCGTGCCTTCGAACTCAATACAGAACAAACCAGTTGGCTAACGTGGTACATTAAGCTGTCACGTGCTTTTTGGACCATGTCACGCAAAGGATTTCAACGCCTTATGAGCCGCATCGAGTGTGGGCCTAAACCCTGAACCCGAAAGTCTAAAAGCAAATCTTAAGCCTGACATGCTACGCCTTCAAACCCTGAAGACTAAACCCCAAAAGCCTAAAGTCTAAACTCTAAATCACCTGAACCCCTTCGGGCCTGCCGAAAGCCTCCAATGCTGGTGTGCATGTTGAAGAGTGCCTTGCACAGCCGCTCCAAGAAGCTTTGGGTTTGGGTTTAGGGTTTAGGGTTTAGGGTTTAGGGTTTAGGGTTTAGGGTTTAGGGTTTACGGTCTAGGGCTTGGGGTTTATATGTTCGTGTTTGGGTTAAGAGTCGAAGGTCCCGGGAGGCATGAGCTGTAGATGTGCAGGAAGATGCGACCTTTGAGAAGAACTGTCCCCAGATGTTGAGGACACCTGTACTCGTTGGATCCTCTTTCCCTACTTGAATGGACTGCCCCTGATTCTTTGTTCCCCCTGTTTCAAGCGGAAGCAGATGTGGGGTGTAGAGGAAGTTGGTGGTAACGAAGACCTTACAGGACCCACTTCCGCCCTGGTAAGCAAAATCCTCCATTCTCGAATCGGAACACCCTCGTGAGACTTGAAAGCATCCAAACAACAAAACTATCCCAAACCCAGATGCGCCTGCCCGCCCGTCCAGGGAATCAGGATACCGCCCAACTCGAAACGGACGTACTCGTTCTTGTCGAAGTTTACCCTTCGCAAGCAAACCCTCCATTTCAGTGTCTTGGTGTTTAGGGCTTGGTGTTTAGGGCTTGCGGCGGCTTGTAGAGATTTCACAACACATCTATGATTGAGAGAACCCCACGAGTGCATATGTTCCATTGTGTCCGCCTCCATGATGTCTCAAATTCAGGACACCGGAAACACAGTTAAAGGAAACTACAGGTGGGGAGTTTAGGGTATATAAGGCGTCTATAAGGCTGCCATAAGGTATATAGACCTTCTACAAGGCTCCTATAACGGTAGCTACCCACCTGAAAGTGTCCTAGACACAGGTCTCAACATGTGCAGCCGCAAGAGAGCGGCTAAGAGTCGCATAGGCACGACTCCCACTGTGTTTCTCTCGGGGGGTTTAGGGTTTAGGCTTAGGGTTTAGGGTTTAGGGCTTGGGGGTTTAGGGTTTAGGGGAGATACGGGGATTGCTCAGACTCCATTTTTCCTACTGTGGGTTGTCAGGAGCCCAGACTAGTAGGGGCTTGTTCGGTCAACTAAGGATGCAAGGAACCTAGCTAAATCGCAAACCCCAAACCTTGAACCTTGACCTCTAAACCCTAAAGCCCCTGACCTAATTAAACCCGGGCCAGAAACCCTAAACCCTAATTAAACCCTAAACCCTAAAACAATGAAACCCCTAAACCATCGTCTCGTGGTCGCTGCCTACAATCACATAGGAAACCACTAGCCCAATCTCGAAAATTATTGATTAGGGTTTAGGGTTTAGGGATTCTTTCTTAAACCGTAAACCCTAAACCCTAAACCCTAAACCCTAAACCCTAAACCTACAGTTGCCGAAGTCTTAGGGTTTTGAATCATATTCCTCTATTCGTATTCTGAAGGGGCCAGAGATGATTCGAAAATACACCTTGTGCTGCATGTGGTTCGGGGTTTAGGAGTTAGTGTTCTGCGGGCCGTTTACGGGTATGATTCACAATTACATGCGGACCGATACGACGGACCTTGAAAGCCATCACTGCTCCAGCTCCTGTTTATGCTGCTTCTGCTGCCACTGCCACTGCCACCACACGACGACGACGACGACGACGACGACGACGACGACGACGACGACGACGACGACGACTGGCGACGACGACTTCGTCAACGAAAACCAATTATTGCCACTAGCACCACTTGCAACCTTTGCTACTCGTGTAATCCCAAGATCTGAACCCCCTGCCCAGATTTCGGGTGCTACATTCTTCAAAACCCCCAAATGCCCGAACCCGAATTCCCGAAATTTCTAGGAATCCCGAAACCGTAAGCCGAAAGACCTAAGAAATGTTGACCCTGTGGGGCCTAACACACTGATGGCAACACGTGTTTCGGCAGGTGGTTCACGCCCGCCTTAACTCACAAGTATCGCGGTAGCCATCGCGAAGCTCTATTCCACCTCGTCCGAAAGTTGGCCGGTCAAGGGCTGAGGGACCCTAAACCCCTATCTCTAGTGGCTTAGGATGTAGCTGGTTCCGAATTTTGGGTGTACCATCCTCACAAATCACCGGTACTTGTAATGAGAGCCCTAAACCTTAAACCCTAAACCGCAGGGCTTCTGGAAAGTAGAGCCTTTCAACTTCTACACACGGTTTAGGGTTTAGGGTTTAGGGTTTAGGGTTTAGGGTTTAGGGATCCACACAGCCATGAAACTTACTAAACCGATGGAGTCTACAAGAAAGCCGACAGCTCGAATTGCAGAAGCTGCCCGTGGTCTCTCGCTGGTTAACATGATTCTGCAGAACCCAACTTGTGGCACAACTGTGGGTTCTCAATTTAGTGTTCCTCTGAAGTTGAAACTTCTGCTTCCTGTAAACCCCGAACCGCAAAAGCCAGAAACCCTCCCTTGGACTGTTGGGGAAGTAAGTTCTAAACCCCAAACTCTAAACTAAGTAAGTTAAGATGAGCCGGCTCTTTTGTCTTCACCCGTCATCCCGCGAACCGAAGCCACGATTGAAAACTCGACGTCTTGCTACTGGCTATCCACATCTGGTCATACCACGGTTGATGATATAATCCTGTATTACGCATAATTCGGCATATACCATAATTCCCGTGTTTTAGCGTCCTTAAGGTAACGCAGGGTTTATACTATCAACAGTAGATCAGTAGATATTGCTGTTGTCCAGGGTGGGGCTTCCAATTACGGAATTACGGGTACAGCCAGCTGCTGTTCCTTCAACCTTCCAGCCCTCATATGAGCCCTCTAGACTCTGAGCCCTAAACAAGGAACCTCCTTTGTAGGTTGGGGGGCTTTCATGTCTCATGGAGCCCTAAACCCTAAACCCTAAGCTCAGCCAAGGATCTTGTGAAGCCTTGCCAGAGCAAGCGGCGACCCACCTCGGCTTCTGCTCCGGCTACGCACACCGTCTGCTAGTAGGTTTAACGGCTTAGCGTTCCAGTAGGTCTAGGGTTTAGGCTTTAGGGCTTAGGGTTTAGTGGGTTTAGGGTTTCGAACTTTGAGATTTACCTATAGTCTCCATTGTAGTTCCTTTTTGGAGATACCTTATAAAAACCTTAATATATAAGTGGCTAAACCAAAAAAAGGAACTACAATGGAGACTATTGGACCCCAAACCCTAAACCCCTGATAACCCCTAACCCCTAAACCCTAAACCCTAAACCCTAAACCCCTAAACCCTAAACCCTAAACCCTAAACCCCAGCTCGAGGATGCAAGTGCTGACGGGGCCGAATCCGATGTCTTCGGGGCTTAGCTCCCATGCTTTTAGCGTTTAGGGTTTATGGTTTTAGGATTTTAGGGTTGAGGGTTTCTTCAGGGTTTAGGGTTTAGGGTTCAGCAGCTCCGGATTGAGCAGTAGTACAGCTACATTCACGATCTAGACATAAATCCCACCCACCCTCGATTCCCACAACATCGAGAAATACAAAGTTTCATTTCACATTTTCAGCTGCACTTCATGCCGAATCCGCTATTTGTCTACAGACTTTTGTTCCTAAACCCTAAAGGCCAGCCTAGAGCCCTAAATCCTAAACCTTAAAGCCCTGAGCCTTAACTCTAATTCCTAAACCTCAGCCCAGAGCCCTATCCTGAACGCTAAAGGCCAGCCCAGAATTTAGGCTGAAACCCTGTAAAAATAGTTCAGGGTGGCAACTTTCGTGGAACTATTTAATGGATTCAAAGAACAATTTTCAACTCTTGCGGTAAGACCCTTTGGTGCTTAGAAGTTCTGTAATCGCTTCCCCCTATTATTAAAGCCTCCCCTAATATTAAAACTGCCGCC